CGCCTTTGGGATGTGCCACGCCCCCTTTTACAGACTAATTTATATATATACCTTACTACAAGCACCTACCATAGATATGTCTGCATACCACATTTCAAGTTCATGTGACTTTAGGTTCCGAAGTTATGACTGACTAAAAATTCCACGCTTATGTTATTTGCCACGCCCCCTTTTACAAAATCATTTTTGCATATCAAATTTCAAGTTCATGTGACTTACGGTTCCGAAGTTAGAGCTGATAAAATAATTCACTCCAATGGGAGGTGCCACGCCCCTTTTCCAATACCGCCCATATTTTCCCATGATTATGGAATTAATTTTATTTATATCGACAGCAAGTTTTAGTTAGTATAGGAGGTGTCACGCCCTCTTTTCCAGTACTGCCCATTTTTCTCTATGCCTTTAACCTTCCCGGGGTAATATATATAGATTAAATTTGAGTAGGTTAAAGTGCAAATTTCAATGTTTAGTTTTTAATAAAAAATTTTAAAGTTTTTGGGTGTAAATGTTAAAGTTTGTTGAATTTTTACAATTTTTGTAAGAAGTTTGAAATTTCGATTTCTATGGTGGTGGTTATGTGGCTTGTCTTTTATAAATAAAAAATATACACATTAAATAAACAAAATAAGAATAACCAAAACCGGTCAAAATATCACTTAACTTAATCAAGTGTACTTAGCAGAAAGAGAATGTAGAATTCTGGTTTAATCCCTGGTGTGTGCAACATCCAAAAATGTTAGGAAAAAACCTGTTTGGAGCACACTGAAAACGGCGAAGCTTCTGCCGCAGCTGTCAAATTACCAAACACGTAGTTATACAAAACAGTATTTTCTTCTATAAAAAAATATAGTTAAGTATTCAGTGGGAAAATATTCTGCCCTGCAGTGAAAAGACAAACCAGACAGTGAACATTCTAGTAGATGCAAAATCATTCAAAGAGCTCTTATCTTCCCCAAGCTTCGATGCGGCAGTTCATCTTCCTATTTGGCTCTACAACCATTCGTCGGTTTGGGAAGAGACCCAGCAACTTCGGCAATTGGCAGACAAATCCATTTTGGTAATGCACTTTCTCTCATTGACCACCATTGCGTGCCGAGTCGAGGGCTATTTTCACTGAAACCTCGTTATCCAGGAGTACAACACGTCCAAGCTACTGTCTTGTAGCCAGCGCAATCCTTGTATTTGTATGCGCTTAACTATATCAAAGTCATTAAAAAGCTCGTATAGTTCGTCATTCCATCATCTTCGGTACTCGCGAATAGGGCCATAATTCTTGCGTAGCATAGTTCTCTCGAAGGCCTCCTAATCTTTTTTCAATATTTTCCATGTTTCTGCACCATATAAAAGGACGGGCATGATGAAATATTTGTAGAGTGCAGTTTTTGTACGTCGAGAAAGGTCTCTGCGTTCCAAATGCCTACAGAGCCTTAGGAAAAGTTATTCTTCACTCGTCACGTCAAAATAGCCATAATCTCGTTTATCAGGAGGAGAAATCTTTCAGGCATTCGCGCTATAAGGAGATAGAAATGTGCTTCGAATTTAAACATTTGTGTCATCATTATGGAAGAAGCACGTAAAGTGCGCTGTCACAAAAGCCACACCAGCTATAATGGTGTGCAGAAGACTGGCTCCCTTTTTTCCTACGGGGGTGTAAGTGTAACGTCCCGCCGATGACAAACAATTACCAAATTTGCCATTTTGATTCCACAACTCGTGCAACCTGCAGCCATTTGGCGGCTTTAATGAATTTCAGTACGTCATACAGACAGAGGCAGCTACGCTCTGAAATATTCTGCAGAGGGTCTTTAGCCTAATACCGGCGAAGGCTGAGCACTCATATGGGTCAGGGTCATCGCAACTGCGACAAAACCTATTGAAGGGTAGTCCAATCCCTTCGGCATGCACCCCAACGGGCCAGTTTCCTGTGCACACTGCAGTAAGTTTGTAAGCATCATCTTTGCTCATTACTAGGAGAGCTTTGGTTTTAGGTGGGTCGTATGGCTTCCAGAACTGCCGGGTAATCCTGTAAGATCCCGCGGGATTCCACCTATCCTTGGCCTTCGAGTAATCCATTTCGGTAACTTTTGTCTTAATCTCCCTGAGCGAGGCGCGCATGTCCAACGCTTTGGATACATTCAGTGCGGAGCCGCTCCTTGCTACCTCGTCTGCTGCCTCGCTTCCGTAAATATTGCTATGTGCCTGGCCCCTTTGAAGGTAATTTTATATTGGCCCGAAATATAGGCCAGTTTGGCTATCCGAGAAGATATTCACCTGCTGTCTCGTAGATACATTCTTACCATACCTTACTACCTCCTTAATTGCAAACGTTTCGGCCTGGAAAACGCTTGCATAGGATAATTTCTAGTTATATTTATCATGATAAAAACATAGCAAGGTAGAACCGTTCTCTCAATTTGTCGGCCATGATTTTTTTTGAAGTTTGCCAACATTTTAAAATCATATAAAAGTGAAAATAAAAAATTGAAATTGTTCGAAATTGTTGTTGCTTGAGATTGAAAATGTAAATGTGTGTGTGAGTTTGTGAGTAAATTTAAAAATTAATTTGTTTGGAAACGTCAAGAATTTTAAAAGTGACTCTCAGCGGTTCTACCTTACTATATTTTTATCATGATATTTATTATTTATTATATTATTTATCTTTGACGCGTCTGTAAATACAGTCAAGAACCCGACCTTTCCTTGATTCCAGTCACTGCGACTTGGGATTTTCGTGTGGAATTTTTGGTGAACCCAGGTCTTCGACGGGATGTAGTCAGTGGGCAACGCTTTAATTTCAGGAGGCAATGCGATGGAACCGTGCCGGACGGTCTTTCCTTCCAGAATCAAAGGGCAAGCAGTCTGATGGTACTGTTAGCAGCTGAGTTTTCGATAAAGATATCTATGGGTAATAAGTCAAGTCCTTCGGACAGGATCTTATTGCACTTGTTACGCCAGCGACTGCTGAACTTTGAATTCCCTTAGCTTAGTATCCTTAGTAAGGGCTAGCCACACCATGATATTCTGGCCAATAGTAATATATGAAGCGTTTGCATAGTCCGAAAGCACCGCCTTCAACACAGTGAGGGGATCGCTTTCAAGATCAGCAGGCTGGCGTGCACTTGGATAACAGGTCACGATCTCCAGTCCTTTCTAAAAGCCTGATTATGGCAACTTAACTCAACTTAACGGAATGTAGAACTCAGAGAATCAAAATGAAACAGATTTCGACGTGGCATTAAGTTAACAGAATTTTTAAGAGAGGACCGTAAATTACGTTAAGTTGCCATAATCGGACCATAAGAATTGCCTTAGCAAAGCCATAAAAATACCTTCATATGGAAATATGTATGTAACGCATAGTATAGGCATGTGTAATGAATTTGAACACTCCAACGGAACGAATCATAAAAGCATATAAGGAAACGAGGAGGCTGAGAGAGTTTCAAGAGAAGTGGTAGCTACCCATCAAATAAGACCAGATTTCTTCCTTGCTGTAGGATCACATAATCGGGGAAGAGAGAAGAGATAAGAGCAAAGGATCAGCTGCTTAGAAGAACCCATTGGGTAGACACACATGGGCTACGACTGGCCAAAAAACTTATAGGACGATCCTGCCGCTACGCCGAAATGGCGGCAGGAGCCCCAATGCATCTCCTTCTAGACTGTTTTGAGGTCGACACTAGCACATCTGGAGGTGCTGCAGAAACAGACAAGGCACATTTACTGTCTGCCGCACCTGCAGCTACTGAGTTTCATTGACTTGACGAGGTCTTGTAATAAGGCACAATATATTGTATCTATCTATCTATGCAGTGACCTACGAGCTCCACGATAGCAAATGTGTGACAACATGGTTTGAGGCGAACATAACTGTAAGAAATCAAACAGTTTTGTAAACCAGCCAACATGTGTGTCAAGCGGTTGTTTTAGCGTTTACTCGATCGAACATCGATAGCTATAATACCATGTTGTCATACGTGTGGGAACGTGCAAATCGCTAGTTCCAACCGTGACGTCGCATTAAGACTGCTGCTTGTCGATCTAAGATCACTGGAGGTGATGAAGATATTTTAAGTATTGAATGTAAGTTATTGTGAACTTTTTAGACTTGAGTATAAATATGTATGGATTTGAACATCCCATATCTCGAATCACACATCAGCGACCTGCTGTCGGCCATTGTGACTGTCGCAGCCGCGCGAGCGAATAACATACAACTGGCATACAGCCACTAACATAGCGTGATTCAATAAGACCTCAGATATTCGCAATACGGCCATTGTTTCAAGCCCCAGTTGAAACCACATATTGTCCAAGTCCATGTCGTCTAATTCAGGACATACAAAGCTTGTTATCCATCCACGATAACGACCGTTCACCGTAACTGCGTTACCTGTATCATTTTCGAAGAAGCACGGTCCGATGACTCCGACAGACCAAACACCACACAAAACAAAGATAAACATAAAAAAACTTTAACTCGTTGCGACAAGGTTTAGATCACTTTTACGCGTTGTTCAAACGAATATGGTTTCATGACTAAGTTTTCCAATGCCTGTAGTACACTTTGTTCAAAGAAAAACCTTAAAATATCACAAATAACTGCTGGAAAATATCTGCGTCACCCTTGTATTATCCTATATTTTCATACACTGGTTGAAGACATAGCCGGGCAATTGACATTTCATAGGACTACTAAATACTAGTTGCCAGTAAGCAAAAAAAAAATCGAAGACGAACTAGTTGAGCTGAAAAGCTAACACATATTAACAGAAACAGTATTACAGTTCACAACTAGTAGTTTTCCCTCCAGGTAGAATGCACAAATTAAATCCCCGTGCAAACAAACAATAACGCTTTGGACCAATTCCAGGATTAATTTGGGATGCTAAAAATTACAAAGAAATTTAGGTACTAACGCTATCTGCTCATTGCATTATTCCTAAAAAGGATAGTAGAACACAAAACAATTTCTAAAATCTGTACATTTCTTCTTCAAGTGGTCACTTCCGTTATCTGTCCGACACCAGAAAATCCACGGAATGGCAAAGCTACATACACCACTTTGGCTTATAACTCAGTGGTAAGTTATGAATGCCGATATGGTTACACTTTGATGGGCGAGACTAGTAGTAGATGTGGTGCTGATCGGAAGTGGAGCGGAACGCTGCCGACTTGTAAAGGTATACGAGTGCATTTTCTGCGACTACGCTGTGATACTTATAATACAAATGTACCATAATTGTTAGAAATTAACTGCGGACATCCAGGTGTTCTCTATAATGGCTGGATTGAAAATATTGAAGCTGGTACAGGCCTTGGCGCCAGCATAATTTTCCGTTGTCAGCCTGAAATGTTAATACAAGGCCATTCATCAAGCGTTTGTCAAATTGACGGACGTTGGCGTAATCCCTTGCCCGAATGCTTGGCACCCTGTGTTGTGCCAGCAATATCTCAAGGTTATGTTATACCTGTTGAAATCATCACAGACGAAAATGGCACCACCATTATAACACCAACAACCACGCAAAGTCCCTCAACATCGTCCAGTGGTGTAGAGAAAGTTAAGCATGGCACTGCTTTGGAGGTGAAATGCGACGAAAACTATGAATTTCCGGTATCGTTGCTAAGTCCGCCGACATGCAATAACGGCACTTGGAGTATTATACCACGATGTGTACCTGCGCGTTGTAAAAGTATGCCAAAGCCACCGAAGCATGGCATGGTGCTCGCGCCGAAGACGGAACATGGCATGAAGGCGAGATTTAAGTGTAAGGATGGCTGGAAATTGATAAGCCCAGAGGGTAAAGATATAACTGATCCGAACGAGTATGTGCTAACGTGTTCATTCGGTAATTGGACGGGCGAAACGCCGCAGTGTCAGGAAGTATTTTGTTCGTTTCCTGGTTACATACCAAATGGAAAGGTATTGCTCGTTGGAAATATGGGACTCTACGATTATAGACCGTATGTGAAAAAGGTTAAGCACATTTTAAGATAATCAAGATATTCAACTAAAATTATCACTTATTTGTATCTTATCATTATAGATCGTTAATAATAAGCAAATAATGTACGACTGTGACAAGGGATATGTTCTAGAGATCGGTCCACCAGGTGCTACGTGTGTCGGTGGTAAATGGCGGCCATTGGAGTTACCGCAATGCCTACTGGGACAACACCCTAGATTACGATGGAATCGTAAACGTCGTTCTATACAAATGCGATATCTGCGTTCTCAATATTTATTACGTAACAAACGAGATTTGCGAAGAAAATTGGATGAGTTGCTTAATGAGAGCGCTTCACAACCTTTGATAGCAATTAATTGGGACATTGGTGAGAATGATTATTTCCACAAATGAAAATTCATGCAATATACATATCGCACGCGAACTTCAAAAGTGACGCAACTCAAAATTTGGCATTTTTGATGCACTACAAATGTGCACAGATCTTTTACTTACCTTTCAGCAAAAGCTGGAGCAAATTTTTGTTATAATTTGTTGAAAAACCCTAAGGTAAAGTTTCCCTTGCCCATATGATTAGCATTTGCTAAGAAATAATTATTAGCATTTTCTGACCAACGTATCAATTTGAGTTGGGTCTCCTTTGAAGATCGTGTGCGATACGTACAATTGGTTGTCAATACTACGAAATTAATTATAATTATCTTAACGGCAGTAATGTCACGACAGAGTGTTCACCTTGTGCACGCCTTTATAAAATGTATAGCAAGCTTAGAAATCCGCTCCATGCGGGATTTTGGAGTGACCAACTCTGCTTATAGATAGGAGAAATATTTTCCAGTTCTATAAGATTTTGAAATAATGAATACGTATTTAAATACACTTTGAAGCCCTTTCATGCCTGTAGATTTGCAATAATTTAAAAGTGGAGCTTCAAACCTCCTACAACGTACCAATTTCAAATACCAAGATTGGGTTCCTGGTCCGGGAAAAATCTAAAACTAGTTTTTTTCTTATAGCGATCGTCCCTCGGCAGGCTATACCAAACCTAAAACCATTTGAACTTCGAAGGAATTTTAGAAGATTCCTTATTTCCACGCATCTAAGGTCCTTCAAGTTATCAAAGAATTGTCTACCTAGAGTGGAGAGTCTTCATCTGGATATAGTAGGACATTGGCACAGCAGGTGCATAATCATTTCCTCCTCCTCTTCATCTGGACAAACTCTGCAGGAGTCCTGTATACGTATGCCTAGTCGTTAGGCATGCTTGCCTATTAGAGGGTGTCGTTTAATTACAGATACTAGCAAACTGACATTACGCTTATTTACGCTCAGTCAGTTAGGTCAGTTCGTTTAGCGTTCGTTTAGTTCTGCAGGTGATCTCGCCATGCCATCTAACATTCGCTACTTTAGTAAGCCTCTCAGAAATAAGTACCTTACCAGTTTCTAAGGATATTTCATCATTTGTATCCAGTTCCGCGGCTTTAAAACTCTCCTCTATTTGGCAGTGTCCGCGAACCCATATCACCTTTGGGCGAAATGACTCAGCCATGTCGTTAAGAGATGTGCGTCATTTTATGGCTACCATGGAGATTGTCAGCAGCTTCGTGATGGATTTGATTGCTGCCTTGCTGTCAGTGAAGATGTAGATATCAACTTGGAGTATCACATCACGCTTTACCAGTTTTTCGGCCTACAGTAGGGTTGCCAACAATTTCTAAGAAATTTATAGTACTTTTTCAAAAAAATATAGTACACTTTAAATATATATAGTATTTTTTTTTAAGAAAAAGTAAAAATGCTTTTTAGGTGTATATCTTTTTTCTATCTTATGCGATTCCTCTGTAAAAAAATATATTTCTTTCTAAATCAAAAGTTTATTGTTTATTAGTGAGATATTCGCTTTACGTATTTATTTTTAAGTAAATTTGCTAAATCTTTCTAAGTATTCTTAAAAATGTTGCCATTTTTGATCTGTGGACACTTTGTTTTAAAGTATATTAATTTAATATTGATATTTCAGTATAAATGTCATCCATTTTAAAACATATCTTTCATACAAATGACTACAATATATATTTATAATTGAAGAAATATAGTATTTTTGCATACTTAATTTTTTTCCAACAGCGTACTATACGCATACCCAAAAAATAGTACAATACTATATATTATAGTAGTTTGGAGTATACACCTCCACCAACTCCTCTCTCGAGCTTTAACCCATCTGTATACACATGGATGGGCTCGTTAACGTCTCAATTTACGTTCTCGAGGTGCCAATGGGCAGCTGATTAAGTGCTTGCCTATATACCCGGCATGCTATACAGATTTACAGACGGCACATATATATAAGAGCTTTCACGCCAACATAGTTTGCCGCGGACGGAACTGTGTAGCGTTTCTAAAGTTGAGATCACAGCCGCGAAAGCGCTTATCTCAAACTGTAGGCAGTTACTACATATGTATTTACACTGATATTTATTCTACTAATTTCTTCGCTGACGGTAAATGTGAAACTCTTCTTTTATATCATTCTCGAAGAAAGTTCCAGGAATAAAAACTTTTCCAATTAAAAAATGTTCGAAGTGTGTGACATTTCGTTACTTTAAATTGAGCTAACCACATTTGTGTACCGGAATCCAGTGGAGTTATGTGCAATAAGATAGCTGATATTCTCGCTAAAAAAGGGGATGTAAAGGAATTTAGAATCCCAGGAACTATTTTATCTGCATGAAAAAGAAGCGCAACAATACTGAACAAGTACGCAAGGTAACAGACTGGCTAAGTCCTACATCCCAGAAATATCAACAAAAGGAGAACCTAAGCTCATTAGTAGGGTTTCTTACTGGCCACTGCAGGGTAATAAATCACTGTTCAAAGCCCTCACTAGGACCAGACTGCACTTCATAGGATCACCGTACCTAGAAGCGCATGACCAAATTGCATTCAGACAAGAGACCTTGCGATATTTCTTATCAATGTGTGCATTAAAGAACAAGTGGTTTATTATAAAGGTCGTTCTCGATCGCGGCAGCTATTTGACCAAGTCTTTGTTAAAAGAACTCTCGTTGCCGACTAATGTATGTACAAGGCAGTTTCTACCGATATTGAGGACAAGACCAACAGTCTCTCAGGAATTTTACGCTAATTTCAAGAAATATTTGAAATACTTATTAGTTAAATGGAGTACGATAAGTGAATAACGTTACCCACTTTAGCGGGTATCGAATGAAATGTATGCCTTTTGGCCTAAAACTTTTTAAGCTAAGGCCGGATATTGGATAAGAAGAGCCCATGAAATCCTGTGAATCATTTAAAGGCCTACTTTTATTTGAACTCCAAACAAAATTTGGAGAATCGCTTAAATTATTTAATGCCCGCATAATCGAACAAAAACTTTAAATTAAACCTCTAACCTGATTTCTTTTACTTTTCAGACACTAACGTCGTCCCAAAAACTAGAGTTAAACGAAATCCTTCCGAAATTGATCAGGCATACTCCAAGTATTATCAAAAGATCAAACAAAAATATCAAAATTATGTAAAGAATTTATTAGGCTATAGTAGATTACACAATCCGGTGGACTTCCGAAATCCCACCAAAAAGATACAAGTGCAAGATGGCCGCTGGTATAACACCTATAGCAGTCCCGACCTGCTAACACGTTACAAGGCTACGCACAAGTCGCGAACATCGAATAACGATTTTTATGGCTTGGAAAATGACGATCACGATTCGCGGGTCCATCGTATATCCGGAAAAATTCCACTACCTGATATTAACCAAAATTCCCGTTATAATGCACATAAACTAAATCACAATGACAATATCCTTTACGATAGCAATTCGGCAAACTATTTCTTCAACGTCTTGCAAAATTCGCCAAAGACTCAAAACGAAAGTGATTTGATAGAAAAACTCAAATCACAAATTGTGCGTAGACGCCGCAAACGTAGCAGCAACAATCCGTCTACACCACCATCACTCGCACCTGATGAGGATATACACGAACCCGTGGAATCTAAAGAAGGCAGAAAACGTTTACGCGGTCCCTGCGAAGATCTAAATTGGGAACAATTCGTCAATGTGACCGTTGTGAGACCCGGTAAAGCAGATGGTCGCAATAGCGTTGGTATAATGCTCCACTTAGAATGCCCCGCTGGTTTTAAGCTGAATATAAAAGGCGAAAATGCGACTGCGCGTTGCATACGCGGCATTTGGAAGCCTGATACGCCCAAGTGCCTTTCAGGTAATGTCCAGGAAAGTTCTTTACACTAATGTCATGAAAATTGATTTAAATTAACTAAATGCTTTGCAGCGCCTTGCTTGGTGCCGGCAGTGGAGAATGGCCGGTATTATAGAGTGGAGGGGCGAACTAAAGTTTTGATCGATAAAAACACATTAACACCACTAACCACATATGAAGAAATAGATTCAAATGAGTATATAACACTCGAGTGCGATGATGGCTTTAATATCCAGGTAAGAAAGGTCTCTATGTCAAATTTTTCAACAAAATTTCGTATACTTTAGATTTATACCTCTCGCACAGGGTTCGGCCCAGCTGCGTTGCGCGCATGGCAGTTGGTCGGTGAATGCTTTTTCGGAATGTGTATCCATACCTTGTACACTACCGGCTTTACCAGGAGTAATATACGAGGTAACTAATAATCTTTTGGATAAATTTTTGGTTTTCCCTGTGGAATATCGGAATATAACTTTGTTTTTGCAGGGTGGCTATCGTACTGGCCTGACAATCGGACATGGGAGCACGGTGACAGCTCATTGTGATCATTCAACAAATGCCTTGCCAATTGAAATGAGTTGCAATAAGGGTATACTTAGTCCACAAAATATACATTGTGAAACAGGTCAGCGCAAATCACGTGAAGAAGTGCCGTCCGAGCCACAGTCAAATGGAAAATCAAATAATGTAATTGTACCGAAAATAGACAATTCGGAATCTGAGGACGTAGCCAACGCAACAGAGGAAAACGTTACTGAAGAGTCGAAAATGTGTGGTCCGCCGAGCATTTCTGATGGCGCATTAGTTTACAAGTAATTATTATTTCTTAAATTTTTGATGTATAAACATCTTCGCTCCCGGTATTGGTAAAATTTGCCTTAAGTAACGCAGCAGACAATTTGTAACTGCTTCTTGAAACATTTCTGGACCAGTTCAGGGCTATTTATGGACCATTTAGGGCTATTTCGGAACTAGTTCGAGACTGTTTCGGGAAAAGTTTAAGACTATTTTAGGGCCATTTTGGGACTAGTTTATGACTATTTCAGGAACATTTCCAGGTTAGTTCGGGGTCATTTCGGGACTAGCTCCGGCATATTTTGGGACTAGTTCGAGATTATTTTGGGACTAATAAGAGACTATTTCAGGATAGTTTCAAGACTGATTCAAGATCAACAGGATCAGGAACAATTTCTAGTTTTTTCGACTATTTCGAGGGCTGTTTAGAACCATTTTGGGACTAGTTCGGAATCATTTCGGCTTTAAAAAAATTTTAAATAATACTTAAATATACTTAATTATCTTTTTCTCGGATATTCTACTTTTGTTACCTATACTGAAAGATATGGTTTTCTGGTTATTGTATTTTGCTTTGCTGTTCGTTTCTGTTTCATTCCATGTAACGTTTTTAAGGAATATTTGTTCTGAATTTTCGGACGTTGCGCGTTTTCCCTAACTACCTCCCCAAATTATTACCTTGGATCCTGCGGTCCCGATATCTCACGCCCTTCTCTAATGTGAACTTTAATTAACCGAAAATGATATGTATATTATGTATGTATATGAAAGAGTTTTTGTTCTTATTCTTCTTCATTGGCAACCGTCTATGGGATTCTGGCCGAGTCCAACAAGACCCAGCAGTCGTTTCTCTTCTGTGCCAATTGGAAATGCCAAGTGAAGCTAAGTCTTTCTCCACTTGGTCTTACCATCGCAGTGGGGGCCTACCTCTTCCTTTGATACCAGCATCGCGATCCGTATTATATACATTCAGAACTGGGGCGATTCTATCCGTTTGTACGACATGTCCGAGCCAACGAAGCCGCTACATTTTAATCGGCCATACTGTCTTCATCGTTTTAAGCTTATACAGCTCATCGTTCCATCATCTGTGGTATTCATCGATACCAATATGATTCGAATAAAAACTAGTTAGACATTTACGCAACCCATCAACGCCAGAGCAATTTTGTAACACTACGTGCAAGCCCGCTGAACCACCAGATATTCAATCAGTAAATTAACTATGCGGGTTCATCATAAATCACTGTATTACTTATTTATTTAGGTAAAACTTTGTTGTGTCAGCACAAGGTACACTGCGACCTAACAGATCTTTTGTATCCCTATGACGACGTCCCTAACCCTGAAAGCCCAATATATGTACAGTCAGCTGTTCAGATGGATGCTAATTGCCATACAAGCGAAGGTCTTCTTAGGGGATCAACTGTAGACGAATTTAAGTATATTAGCCTTTTGTCTAGCCAACATCGGAAAATTACATAAGATGTATTACGACGTCTCGTCGTCCTCAAAACATAGCCGGATATAGTTGGTTATATAAATAGCTCAGAGAACAGCCTGATTTCAACTCTATTAACTGGATTAATGTCTTTTCTAGCGAAGAGGGAAATAAATCATAAGACCCGCAGACAACCGACTGAGCCCACAAGATGTATTCAACCTCATGAGAACAGATGATGACCTTTCTCTCCCGGATTCGTTGACGACCTGATTCGCTTCGATACTGCAGTTGCCTGATCTGTCTTGTTCTTCGCTTCCAAGAGTTGAAATGAATCAACACTGACCTTGCCGCGATGGGAGATGAGACCTGACTTTCGCTTGGATGTCTTGAAGAATAAATACAAAAAATATCTATCAAATGTGTTTCGGGGCTTCTTTCGGGCACATACTGCTGTCACCTCGGCCTGAAAAACTGTGATCTCTAAGTCTATTACAATCATATTGATAAAGTTGAGAGCCAAGTCTATAAATACCCGCACTTTTTTGGCTTCCATCCCTAACCCCTCGAAATGCCATTGTACGTATCTGTGAGCACGGCGAGGGAGTCCATTTGACCAGACTCGCCACTACGCTCCCGGGACTGAAAGCCTGAAAAGCTTAGGGCCGGTTGTTCAATGTCTGATTAGCACAAATCGGAGGTAGAAGCTCCGGTTAAGCACAACTACTGCTTTATCGATCACATGTTACATGCATGATGTCGAAATCGTCGATAGTGTAGTGGTAGTGATAACCAGACATTGAACAACCGGCCCTTAGTGTGAAGTTCTAATTTAACAGAGTAGATATTGTTGTAATTTCTCCATAAAAACAATGGTCGCTAGTTGTAGTCAAAATAAAGTCGAATTTAAAGCAGCGATGGGCAGAGAGAGCTTTTACTCTACGCGCGGCTTTACAAAATGTGTAGAAAGCTTAAAAAAGCTTTGCCCGCGGGCAAGGCAGTGCCCATGACCGCTTTAAAGTTATTTGGAGCTTCTTGATAGATATCCCATTGCAAGTTAATTCATAAATCTGCAATTAACTTTAGAGTTGATTTTATATACATACATATCATTTCAGAAATACTGATCTTTCCGACGTTGAAGGTGTATACGAAAGTGGCACGGAAATATTCTTCAACTGCATACCAAGTGCTGCGGGTGAAAGGAATACATGGAAAATTATATGCGAAAATGGGCAATGGATTGGGCGTTCCTACAATTGCGGTATGTATTTTCTTCTTCGTCGTCAGCAATTCATACCAAAAACAAACATTTGGATGCCTGACTGATAGAGATTATAGTGCCGCTAAAGCGGTAATCGGCAATACCTTTCCATAGTTCAGATTTTTTTCAAAGATTTCTTTACATTAACAAAGTAAATGCCTCACCCCATCTCATCTTTTCGTTACTCTGGAATTATAAGTTCACAAAGTTCTTTATAACCTCATGGTTATTATTTCCAACTCCGATAAGCTGATACTATTTGTCTGTTGAGACACTTTGTCTTGTACGAGTAACCGTTCACCAGCATTTTTAACTATGTTTCGTCCCCATTTAAATTGGAGAAAGGCCCACTGATAGCACTGTTGTTAAGGCTGACGATGCCAATATCATCTCCATATGCCAGAAGCATCTTGTTTGTACTCATACTTAATAACTCAGCGTTGCGATTCAGGTTGGCAGCCCGTATTACATCTTCCAACATCAGATTTCTCGATCCACTCAGAGAGAGTTCTTTGCCTATTTGAATGGAATAGAAAGCTGTACTTTTTTATGAATTAAAAACTTTGGTTCTGATTTCATATTATTGTGCTTAATTTATGTATATTTTTTACCTCGCTTTTATTAGCTTGGGATGCGCACACGTACTTGTGTTTAAAAGTAATTTACTCGTTCTTAATTGGGTATGCGTTTATTGTGCAATTCTCAAATATCTCCTCACTGAACTTAGCGAAGTAATAAGTCGCTGGCATTTCCAACCATGGTCAATGCTAATCCAGCTCCCTCTCCACTCCTGGAGTAATTTTTAGCATGGTAGCAAGCTACGGCTAACAAACCACACTGGGGCTCTGCATTAATGCACCCCTGAATAAATTCCAGCTCATTGCACAGCAGCCTACGGCAGCTAGAGCAGGACTCCTCCGATGGAGTCCCCTAATTGATAAATGGTAAAAGGGTCACATCATGCGCTACCGTCTCATCAGCCTGCCCGCATTTCCCTCTCCCTGTCTCTCTCTCTCTCTCTCTCTCTCTCTCTTACGCTCGCATATCAGACATATGGAGTGCGTGGTTGCCTTGATGTGCACTTATAAACCATATGGGCTCATTGAGCTCGATACATAAACACTCGCAACAAAGGTAATCCCTACCTCCTCTATTCCTCTAACTCGACCACAACTCTAAACCTGGTCTCCCGCTCTCCCTTTGCTAAACAGGATGTAACTATGTAATATTGATGCACTTAAAAGATGCAGCGAGTTCCATTCTCAACTTATATACCTGAAGACAACACGAGTGGGAATTGCTTTAAATTTAAATTCTTAAAGAAACCTCCAGCCAGATTCCAACATTTGCTATCGCTAATTTTCTCAAAAAATAACAGCAGACGCCCCTAACAGCACGCAACTTCTAGTTGCCTTCCCGCCACACTGTCAGATTTGGCAGATTACGCATCGCATATGTTACTCTTCCATGTTGTATACTTTTAGGCCCTACTGCTTTTCATTTATTTCAAATATTTTTCCCGTTTTTCATAGACGGGAAATTTCGTGGTATCTTTGCAGCCGAGTCCATGTTAAAAGCTCAGCTTCGCTTCGTTCAGTGTGAACGCCAGCGGCTTCGCTTTGTTCCGCCTTGCTTCGCTCGGCCTTTTGTGTTAACGCACCCTTAGAAGCAGAGGATATTTACTGGCTTTAACAAAGCGTCGAATCCCAAACTTTTTCCTTATAACAACTACAATTTTTACCACAGTTTTTTGCTCTCCTGAAAAGTACACATTTTCACATTCCATAGTTTGACATGGTAGCGACGATATTGTGAGGTCCATTAAGTAATCACTACTTCTTTCACCGATTGCTTTGCCACATATGCCATAATTTCGTGCTTATTTAGTGCCAATTTATGTCGCTAAATAAAAAGTTGGTGCTCTGTAAATTTTGCCAAAAACATATAGTAGCCACCACTTCAGCTGAAGTCAATATCTCTGGACCCAAAAAGCGCATTTGCATCTACGTTATGCCATACTTTTGTGATTATTAAATGTTACCGAATCATCCTACGAAGAATGAAATCAGACATTATTTAAGAGAAAGAAATATATTGGCGGCATTTCTTTATTCATTCTGAACGTTTCGAATAAACTTTTTTGTTTATTTATTCTTTAGAACGTTCCTGATGATATGTTGACGTATATTTCAAACGCATTCTGTTTATTCCGGCTGTGAAATGGGATTATCCGGAATGTATAAAGAAACGCAGCCATTGTAATACCAACTTCACTTGAACTCGGCATTGATCAACATTAACATTAACATATCATTAACATAAACTTAACATTAAAATTAACATTAACTTATCATTAACATAAACTTAACATTAAAATTAACATTAACGTTACCATTAACATTAACATTAAGATTAACATTAACATTAACATTAACATTAACATTAACATTATCATTAATATTAACATTAACATTAACTTTAACTTTAACATTAACATTAAGATTAACATTAACATCAACATTAATAATAACATTAACGTTAACACTAACATAAACATTAACATTAACTCGGGGTTATTATTGCCCGCACAACAATAACATTGACGTTAACATTGACTTAAAATTAAAATTACATTGACAATAACATTCACATCAGTCGCGTGTGGAATCCACACACTACTCTTTCTTTTTATTATTACCAAAATAAATTTTGAAGTACGACAATAAAAAGATCCTGCCAATTTTAATTATTTAACATGTAGTATAAGCACTTTTTCATTGTTGTCTTCTTTTTCAGCGAATGGCACATGTTTGTTTAAGAATAATGAACCGAATGTTGTGAGCTTTTACAATGATCTTGAAATCCGCGAGGATGTTGTTGAATTCCCTCCTGGTGCTACTATAATATCAAGGTAATTTAGTAATTAAAAATTATAACTATGTTAAGAAATCTAGACTATCGATTATTCCACTTCAGGATGAGCTTCAAGTAACTCTGTGATCACGAATAACAGGAGTTTACAGCTCATATTCTTCGTAGGAATCGAATTTTTTTTTATATCAGCAAGTGAACATTAAACAAAAAAATATGGAAAGAAGTCTTAGATCTCGCTCTTTACACCTCTTTTATTAGAAATTCCGTTAGATCATGGAAAGTGTCAAAGTTGATATAAATCATTATCATACCAGGCGTGTATCCATTTTGAAATAGGAGCTCTGTGTTCACCTATATAAGTGGAATACCAAGATTCACAGGCTGAGATCTGTACGCTGAAATTTTTACGCTCCTGAGAAATTCTTAATATTTAATTAAAAAAGTGGCAAATGGTATTTTTTAAAAACTCATAGAGAAATGGCATACAAAACACTCAAATCCACGCAGCTCTGTTAAGCGAAATTATATTATACTAGCTGTACCCTGTCACGCTTTGCTGTGGCATATTCCTGTTACATGAATGATAAATGATTAACGAAACAAAGCATGCCTTTTAGATAAGTTTGATATTGCAATACTTGTATGTAGTTACACAATATTTTTCGTTTTTGCATTCTCTACCTAGATATCAAGGCTATCTGGTTTGTCCATGTGAGAAGTAATCGGCATCTTAATCTAAACCATACTTTTCCAAAGGTTTACCTTGAGCATTACTGATTGTGATTCCGAATGCCAACCAAATTGGGATTTGCCACCTTTTAAATTGAAATGGTATATCGGTCGGAATCATGGGAATTCTTCACCTTTGAAAGACCACGTTAAAATCCTTTCTTACACTATGTTGTTCAACAATTTCTTAACCGCAAGTCGCCTGCCGTTGCAGAGATTTGGCTGATTAATATTCCGAAACATGATAATTGCCACATTTCAATTTCAGTATATTGGGTTACCCCTGGAAGATCAATCGAGTTCGAAAATTCCGTTGAATAATTAACTGCTTCATTTGCTTCCTCAACGGTGTTTATCGACGTACATATACATACATATGTTATTTCATCACTTCGAATGCTGGATTGAAAAACATTATTGAGTTGATAGACATCCTTATTCTTCGCGGCAAGAATAGCTCGTTCACTGAGCCAATCGTGATTCCTATAATTAATTATAGATTTGAATATCCGGAAACATTCCTTCGATCAGTTCTCCTTTCGATGTTTCTTAGTTACAAAAATTATCAGGCAATCAAATTCGTCCTAATCTCTCATTGACTGGCAGCTCTCCGTTCCGTTATGTTCAGTAATTGTCGCGAGAATACCTGGGCTGATTAATCTCTCTGTAGTTGGACATATATTCGTAGTCAACTGCAATGTATGTGTGTTCGTCTTGCCACAATGTCGAATATTTCAGGCAAGCATTTATCTCGCCCGCTGGTGTCAATCGAGAAATTACAGGCAATGTTTGCGTAAAATCTTCTACGAGCAATATCAATGCATTCTCTAATGGTTTCTACGCAAATTTCGTACCGATCGATCAAAAATCTCAAGCAATTTTTTATGTGCTATCGTGCACTCATCCCAAATAATGAGTTTACATTTTTGTAATAAGTACTTCTCACATACCGGATGTTCTGGAAATATTGTACGTGGGAATGATTTGTATGTTAAATGGCATCGTAAGAGCTAAATGAGAAGTGCCTCCACCTGGTAACAATGTCGCAGATATTTCCAGATGAAGCGGGAGCTACGGCTATGTAATTTTTTCGTCGAACCGATGCCACAATTTTATAAGGAATCCAAGAAGAAGGTACCCCAACTGCGTCATTTATCGTTTGCATCTTCTTATTTGGCACTGTGACCACATAAGCGATTTTAGTCGAGTTCAACAAAGCACGCCAGCCCTTTCTCTCCGTGCCTATTTAGCCAAGTCCTTCTCCACTTGGTCTCTCCATTGCAGTGCGGTCTCCCTCTTCCTCTGCTACCACTAGCGGATCGCGAGTTGAATACTTTCAGACCTGTAATGCCAGTTCCCATTTGAACGACATGGTCAAGCCAGCGGAGCCGCTTTAAATCTCATACAGCTCTTCGTTCCATCGTCTGCGGTGCTCACCGTCGCCAACGCGTAGGGGCCTGTAAATCTTCCGTAAGATCGTTCTTTCGAATACTCCAAGAGCCGCCCCATCGGATGTTGTCATTGTCCATTCTTTTGCGCAATATACCAGCATGGGCATGATGAGTGACTTATAGAGTGTGGTTTTTGTACGTCGAGAGAGAACCTTACTCCCGAATTGCCTACTCAGTCCAAAGTAGTACTTGTACAAATTCGGCATTGGATTTCGATGCCGACATTATTATCGGTGTTATGCTGGTTCCTAACTAAAGGAAATTGTCTAATTTCTCGAAATTACAACTGGCAACAGTGACGTGGGGGCCAAGGCGCGAATGCTCTGACTCTTCATTTGATGGCAGGAGATACTTCGTTTTTTCCTCGTTGATCACCAAACGCGATCGCCTTGCTTCGTTATCCAACTTGGAAAAGGCAGGAGCGACTTCGAGGTTTTTGTTACCGATGATCTCGATGTTATTGGCATACGCTAGAAATTACACGCCCTCGTAAATAATTAATCGTGAGTGGTACAGTTCTGCAGATCTTATTATCTTAACATTTGCATCATGCGATCATAAATGCCCTTCTGCTCACGCTTTAATTTGTGAATATTTCATTGGACATGTAATAGGAGAACACAATAATCTTCATAACATTATGTAACCTTATCCAAATTGTCCCCGCTGATTTTTGGAAAAATTTTGTTAGAAACACGAAGCAGCTCATTTAATTTAGCAAAAAAACTTCTGGAAAATGTGGGTGTTGTTAGGTAGATGTTTATTTCACTAATGTCGATTCTTAGATATGTATTTTAAAGTCGGAAAAACTCAACGCTAAACCAGGCACATTCTCTTTACTCGCAATATACATACTAAGCTATGGCGACCACAAATGAAATTGTTTATGATTAAAAGCTAACTGTTTTATAATGTTAGGAAATGGTGACAACAATTTTAAGTTTTCGTTAGGGACTTTTAAAACATTTTTCATGGATATTTTTATGTTTTCATTATGGTTTTTATTATTTTTTCATTTGTATCAGTAGTTTTTTATTATTATTTTTTAATTGAGAAATTTGTATACCAACTCATCGTTGATAATATGATCACTTCCTTTGATAAGATTTTGTAAATTCTTTCTTAATTTAAACTGTTAGGCTTTTGGATAAGTGGAAACATTAAAAAGAAATTCTCTAGTAAAGCTTTCCCTAACACGTTTCGTTTGGAATTTTAATATATTTCATTTAGTTTCAATATTTGCAGTCTTTACTTTTAAATAGGGAATAATCCTAACGAAAGTATTCCTAAATCAAGATTTCTCAAATGCCGTTAGTTTGGTGCCCATATTGTAAAATTTCGTTTCTCTTCAAACATATTTTCGACTGTGAGCCTTCTTAAAACTCTTTAGTTTGACACCCACATGACAATATTTCATTTATTTTATCAATTTGACTAACTTAAAATTTTCAAATAGGTGGCAACCCTCGTCAAAAATATTTACAGCAGTTATCTTTCTTAAACCTCTTTAATTTGATACCGATATTGTAATAATTTAATTTATCAATATATTCGGGTTTAAACATTTTCAAATAGGTGGTAACCCTCCAATTTTTTGTGATGTCATTGGTTCTGGTATTATACCGAACAACACAAAAAAAAATATTCAAATCGGTTCAGCCGTTCTCGAGTTTTGACGACCGTGACATACGAACACCACATTTTTATATATATATAAAATATTATGGAATTACTGGGCTAATACGAAAGGTAACATAATGAAGCCCAGGTCAAACCTGTGAGTGGTTTTCTAACATCAGTGTAGGTTGTGCTATAATACACTAATCTGTAATTAGAAAAAGGGATAAGCCATACAAAATACAAACGCCCCTCGTTAATCGGTTTTCGCAAAATAATCTCAGATTAAACCTCTAACTTTTCGGTGTCAAACCTAGTTTAATCGAATATTTTTGCGAAGAAGAGGAGAAACGTCAAATGTAAAAGTAAACAGAAACGGACGCTGGCAAGATTTGTAAAGGTATTTTTAATAAAATATTAAGTTAAAATATTTTTACATTGCTTAAGATTAATTAATTAATTAATCCCAACGGCTTTTTACCCTCCATTCCCGCCCGACCGACACGAGGGGCGCAGTCCGCATGACGTACGGAAACTTTTTTTTTTTTTTTTTTAGTTTTTTCGTGCCGAGTAGTGGAAACAGGAGTTTGTTAAGTGTCGAGATCTAAAACTATTCAGCTACAGAATCAAATTCATCAGCTGATTGGATATGCTAAAGATAGTATTTCAATTATTGAGAGTAGAAATAATAGTTTTCTTTATAGTAAAAATCGAGTCCGATACGTCAAACGTGCTGGAATGACAGTTAAAATCTTGACATAAACCACGGAATGATTCGTTTAGTTCAAAATTAGTTTTGCATGGCTTTAAAAATAGAGGTCGAAAGTGTCTTGACATTCGAGAAGGAACATTAAAATTTACCTCAGCCAGGAGGGCCGGGCTATTAATCAAGCCTGTCATTAATTTTACGATAAATATTATACCCAGCATTTCTCTACGACTTGCGAGTGTAGGCAAATTTATGAGCTTTAGACGACTTGTGTAAGGGGGGAGATTGTAATCTGAATCCCAGTTAAAATTACGCAATGCAAAAAGCAAGAATTGTTTTTGAATTGATTCAATCCTTTCTGAATGAACTTGGTAGCGGGGATTCCAAACAATAGATCCGTATTCTAGTATAGGTCTAACTAAACTGGTAAAAAGAGCTTTTGTAACATAAGGATCTTTGAACTCTTTTGACCATCGCCTTACAAATGCAAAAACGCCTTTGGCTTTATTGACTGTAACATTAATATGATGG